CCCAAAGCTCAGGGATCTTTCTAATTGGATCTTGACTTCAATAGGATTTATCATTGGCCATCATGGCAATTTCCCCCAATCTTAAAAGTAGGGCCTGGACAAGACAGGATGAGAAGAGCAGAAAGATTCCACCCTCTTTCCTCCAACAGAAGTCCAGAGCAGACTAGCATCTTCATCCAGCAATCGGCCTCAGCAAGAGGTTTACTAACCATTTGTTAATAACCCAGGGACTCCCAGCTAATCCTTGCCCGCTTCTGTCAAGTCACATCTGACTCATAAAAACCGTATCAATCTTTAGGGGAGGAGACTGCCCTTCTCTCTAGTATAAAGCAACTGGTGGATTTGAACCACTGGTCTGGCTAGCAGCCAGCATGTTACCGAAATGCCACCAGGGTTCTTATCCCATCCTTAGGAATAGATTGTGTAAGTAGATGTTTTCTGAAAGGACATGTCCTTCATCAAGGGAAAAGGATCCTCACTGATACCCTCTCTCCAAACTATGGTGAGGCCATTGGTGAGGCTTCTTTTCCTTTGTACCTTTGCCTTTCTCGACTTCTGCTTTACCACTCATCTCTTTCTTGAGCTCAGACCTTGTTGTGGCCATGACCCAGATCTCTGCCTTCCCATGCTTCCAGAGAGCTAATGACGACAGTGGGTTCAGAAGGCAGGGCCCTTTCTCTGTTGCCTTCTACTGCCACCCAGCTGACCAGTCAGTCTCCAACCAGGAGGTAAGACTGATTCTCACCCATCATTCAAACTTGTCTGAGGTCTCAGAGAATCCTGCTGGGTTTGATGAGCAAGCACAATGCCATTTTCACACTAGAAGTCTTACAACATTAGAGATGGAAACAGCTTGCATGATTATAGTTGGGATCTCTTACAGAAGAAGTTGAGGCTTTGGAGTCCCAGGCATTCAACTTCCAGTGCAGACCTTGTTCAATTTAGTGTTCACCCAAAACTTCCCTTAATTGCAACAGATCCACTATCTTCACAACTGTTATTTAAGGAGACAAGTGAGAGCTGGGTCTAGTCCTTTGATCCATGGCTTGAGTGCCTGCTTCTCTCCCAGTCACAGGCAGCTGATTATAGCTCTATGGGATTTTCTAGAGTCTTTAAGACCAGCTGTAAAGTCACCGCAGGCTGGAAGCAGCTAAAAACAAGGCTTATTTCTCCTCCTTCTCACCCTCAAATTAGCAAATAATTGTAAACATCTGCCTTGATTCAACAGCGTCTCCTTATCGAAAGAAAGACTTCCTTGTATCATAAAAAAGCAACTAGAAAGTACCCATTTCCCCAAAATGACCATTACATTTTATAAGAGGTAAACAGAGACAATCAGACTTGCTAAGCTGCACTGCCAACCCAAGGGTACACACAGTCCTAATCCACCAGCTGCTCTCGGGGAGAAATATGGGCCATCTCTTCCCTTGTGATTTACTGCCTCTGAAAACCTGCTGGAGGGTCAGCTACGCATCAATTCTGATTCACAAGAAGAACAACTTCATTTTAAGTTTTAAGTTAAACTTTTCATTTCAAGCTATTCTTTTAAAACTAGCAGAATGTTCTTTTTGTGGTGTATTTATTTACTATAAAATTTCCTTTCTATACCCATGTGGTTTTCATTCTCAGACAACTGGTAGCCTATGGTTAAGGATTTGAACTGGCAACCCAAAGGTAGGCAGTTTAAATCCCTCTGCTACTATGTAGGAGAAAGGTGGACAACCCCCTGGTTTGTCCAGGCTTTTAACAATGGCCTCAGTCCTCACACCCCCACGCCAACTATCAACAGGGCTACCCCAGGCCACACAGCAGAAATATAGCTTCTCAAAACCTGTCAGGGGGTCAGATGAGTTGCTTCCCACTCAATAGGAAAGAATAAATGGTTGTGGAAAAAAATTATTCTAAGGGAGAAGGAGAAGCTGAAAGAAGAGAGGAGTGTAGGTTTAAAACGAGCAAAATGATAGCTACCATTAGGGGTTGAATCCAATATTTCTAAGATGGTGAGGTGGGGGCTCCTCCGCCATCAAGGCTGCAAGCTCAGCCTCTCTGGGAAGGCTGAAAATTAGCCTATGTGGTGGAGATAAGAACCACAAGGCTGGACCCCTAGTAGGACTGAGGAGGGTGAAGAATGGTCCTCTCTTTGCACAAAGACATGAAAGAAAGGACAGCACAGCAACATTAAATACATTGACCAGGAGTCATTTAAGATAACTCAGGTTACATGAGTGACAGCTCCTTTATCCAGTAGGCTTGTGGGCCATGGTTCTATGATAGCCAGACACAACTCAAAAGGATGGATGCTGAACAAGGCAAATTTTTTTTCTTTGAGTACTTCTCTGATTACCTCCCACTTGAACAAACACACACAGAGCTACAGTGCAGTCTTTAGCATTATCTTTCAAGAAAAGGCCAGACTAATCATTTCATGATTTGCTTAAATTCTGTCAGTGACTACCAACAGCCTTAGCAACACCTCTTTGCCTCTACAGCCCCAATTTTTTTCTTACCTTGACCTCTGCCCTTCAGAACTACCTGCAGTTCTCTCAAAACCCCACACAGCTTTCACCTCTGTACCTTCTGCAGGTCGCACTGTCTGAGCTTCCGTCATGCTCATCGTGGGCTGGAGGGCAACCCTTACTGGGTCGACTCTATCTCCCAGTACTCAATTTCTTCACCTTCTGGGTGACCACACACCACCAGTCCTCTCTTACTGGGCATACACGTGTATTTATGCATATATTCCCTCTCTAGTAGAGCTTAAAATCTGAAGCAATTGGCTTGTAGAAGGCTGAAGTCTGTCTGTAGCAGACCTTTGTCTCCATTCTGGTTTCTAACATAGGCTTTTAAATGGCATTTCAGTTTCTTCCCACAGCTGCCAGGTGGTTGGTTGTTTTGTTTCCATCCAAGTTCTCAGCGTAACTCTAGAGTGTGTTGATTGATACACATCAACTTTGGATTCAGCGAATACATGCCATCACATCACTGACCTGCCATGTGGCTTTGCCCACAAGGAAAATGCTATTTACAATCACAGCTTTCAACTGAGTTTATTACTGTTAGGTTCCATAAAGCTGGCTTTACTCACGGGGACTCTATATACTACAGAACAAAACTCTTCCTGATCCTATGTCATCCTCATTGGCTGAAGCCAATTGTTACGGGTACTATGCCAACCCATCTGGTGAGGGTCTGCATGCCTAGGCATGTCCTCAGTGGTTCCCTTCAGTCATAGCACTGACCACCACATAACGTCGTGGCAGTGGTGACAACATCAGAATCAATTCTGTAATCTGAAATTGTGCATGTATCCCAGCCTTCATCTTTTGCCAGGTAAGGTAGCCCAACCTGCAACTGTGCTTAAAATCTTATGAATGAAAACAGTGACTGCAAATAATTAGAATTCCATTAGCACCAGTGTTGATGAGTCTCTCTGATTTTAAGAATAGTTTGTATCTTTGACCTATTTGTGTCTTAATAAAGAAGTCTCTGTAGAATATGTTCAAATCCAGGATGATACCCCTTATTATGTGTCAATTCTTTTTACTCATCTTTGGTTAAATCTAAGGTATAGGAGGAGTTTGGATTTCTGATCTCTAGAACTGGAGGATTGCACATATGTGTGTGTTTTAAGCCACTAAATTTGTGGTAATTTTTTAGAACAGCAATAGGAAACTAATGCAGAAGATAGTTACTAGTAGCAATAGTAGTAATTATTGTTAAACAGGGTTGGTTGGAAAAAAGCAAGAATGTGCTTACCAGTGCAAATGTATAAGTAAATGTCTTTGATATTGAGGATGATAAAGCAGAGATCAATAAAAAAGAGCAGGACCAACATGTGGACAGAGATGCCACAGCGAGTCCAGCTACAAAACAGTGACACACTCGTACTAAGGTTCTACTGGAACCCTTGGAAAGAACAGATTATTTGTGATCCATTTGCTGAGTGATCAACCTGTCTGCCTTCCTCAGCTCTACCTGTAGTTGTTATGTGCTGTCGCCTGCTACTCACAGCCATTGTATGTACAGCAGGTCTGAAACCAGCCCTGTCCTGAGCCAGTTTCACTAACTGACATACCTACTCCCATTGCCCTAGTTACTGTATCAATCCATCTCATCTAGGGTCTTCCTCTCCTGCTTTGTCCCTCCACCTTTCAGAGCATGATGTCCTTCTCCAAGGATCAGTCTCTTCTGGCCAAGCGGCCAAAGTATGTGAAGCAGAGCTTCAAAATCCTTGTCCCCAAGGAAAGACTTGGTTTTCACCCTCTCTAAGACAGACCGATATGTTCTCCTGGTGGCCCATGATATGTTCAATACTCCTTTCTAACACCACAACTCAAAGGCATCAATTCTTCTTCTGTCATCCTTAGTCATTGCCCAGCTCTCTGATGCATAGCATGTAATTGCAAAGACCATGGCCTTGATCAGGCACCTCTTGGTCTCTAGACTGACATCGTTGCTCCTCATCTCTCTGGGGAGGTCCCTGACAGCAGACTTACCCAATGCAATTCGTCTTTTGATTTCCTGACTGCTGGTGCCAAGAGTATTGATTGTGGAGCTGAGCAAACTGTAACTGTTAACAACCTCATTCTCTTCTCCACCTATCAGGGTGCTGCCAATTGGCCCAGTGGCAAGAATCTTTGTCTTCTTCGTAGTTGTTGACCAAAAGCATGAAAACTTGAGTCTACCAAGAGGTTTCTCAAAAGAAAATCTAAAAAAGAAAGGAAGAGAGAAAAGCCTAGCAATCTGCTTGCGAAATAATCAGTCACTGAAAACCCTGTAGAGCAAGGCCCTACTCCATAACAGCTGGGTGGGTGTAACTCAGATTCAACTTGATGGCAGCTTCTTTTTAAACAGCATCCATAGAGTATTATAAACATTAGCATGCCTTCCTGCTTTACTGGGGGGTGGGGAGGGAAGAAGGGAAGGTTAGCATTTTAAGAAGCTGGAGCATCTGCAGAAGAAATTAAAGAGAAAAGTCAGGAAGGACAGTTTGTGGATTCATGCCGGGTCAGCTGGGCCTGGACGCCAGGTGCAGTGTGGTGGACGGTTACACCTGGAAGCCCAGCTTCAAGTCAGCCTTGTCCTCTGCGTGCTGCTCTGCAGGCTGGGCCTCGTTTGTGGCCTGGCATGGATGGAGTCCCTCGTCCCACTCCAGGAAGATGATGGCTGATACACAGATTATGGAGTAGGCAGCTGCCAGTGATCATCTCACAGGCATGCTCTGATGCCTTGCCCTTGAGCACGATTGCCAGCCTCTCCCTGTCTGAAGCCCTTGTTGACTTGTTGAAGTGCTTGAAGGTGGTGAGTTGGAGATAGGGGTCCATTAGCCACTGGTGTAGAGGGTAGGTTTCATTATCCACAAGGGCAAACCTTATACGCATGCCTTCCTATTTCTTTTCATAGAGAGGGGGAAAGAGTAACTGTATATTTCCTAGAACAAAGCCGATTTGCCTCCAACACATGTGAAGACCCTGGACAGCCAACAAACACTTGGTTGTTTGAAGAATTACCAAAAAGTACTGCTACTCATTTCAGTAGCTCTTTTTCTGCACTTTGAAGCCGAACACTTCATTATGCATGCCTCTAGTGGCCCTGGCACACTCTGGGAAGCTATATTTGGTTCAGGGCATTTCCATGACCTCATCTGGATCAGGCTGGTTTCCTAGAAGGTGCTGAAAGGTCACAAGGATGGAGTCCTCAACCTTGTGGAAGTGTGCCGGGTGGTACATGTGCCCGCCCTAAAGAGCTTGGCCACATAATGCAGATGTACAGGGGAAGTCAGCTGATATCAACAGTCTGATGACTATTGAGGTATAGAGACCAGCCAATTTCATGTGGGTGGCTTCCCGTGAAAGTGGTAGGGACTTTTCACAAAAAAGTAACGCATTTCCTGAGATGTCTAGTATGTTTGTTTCCAGCTGAATAGCAAATTGGTCCACTTAGGTTCTACAAAGAGAAGATGATGTGGGCTGCACTTTGTACTAATGGCTCTCTTTCTAACAGGGCAGAATCTGGCAGGCATCTGTATCTTGATGAAAAGAGCCTCGTGAGTCTTCTGGGAGTGAGGAAGATCTGATTCAGCCTGGCCTGCAGAGTCTGGACCACTGCTTCTCAGCTCCCTCCTCCGCAGTCACAAGCAGAGTCCTAGTGGCCCAACTGTAGGACAACTTGTATAAAAAGCTACAGTCCCTCCTTGATCCAGTAAGCATACTTTGAGGGTTGAAAGTGCCACTAAGCTGAGCTCAGGAGAATGACATGTCGAAGTGTATACCTTTTCAAAGGTGGTCAGTGAAATTCTTATTCCCCAGGGAACAGTCGGGTTCAGGAAGCTCAAATGTGAGTTAGCTGATAAGGAGCAGGCTTTCACTATGAACAAATAGGCTATGCATGCAATTATATCTATGCTTATAAATATGCTTGCTTGCTGAAAGTGAGGAGGACCTAAAGTTATTGGTGCAGAAGATCAAAGACTATAAGAAGATAAAGATCAAAGACTGCAAAAAAGATAAAGACTGTAAGTCTTCAATATGGATTATGTTTCCACATGAAGAAAGCAAAAGTCCTTACCATTGTGTAAGTCATCATAGATGGAGAAAAGATTGAAATTATTAATGATTTCACATTACTTGGATCCACAATCAACACTTTTTGTATCAGAGTCAGGAGATGAGGAGAAGTATTGCTCTGGGCAAGGCTGTTGTCAGGGACCTCTCTAAAATATTAAAGAGCAATGATGTCAGTTTGAACACTAAGGTGCACCTGATTCAGTCCATGGTCATATCTATTACTTGCAATGCATCTGACAGTTAGACAATGGATAAGGATGACTGAAGAAGAATTGATGCCTTTGAGTTGTGGTGTTGGAAAAGAGTACTGAATATCCCCTGGACTACCAAAAGAATGAAAAAATACATCTCAGAAAAGGTGCAGCCAGAGTGTCCTTTGGAGGCAAAGATAGCAAGGAGGATCTCTCATACTTTGGACATGGTGTTAAGAGAAGCTATTTCTTGGAAAGTGATATCATTCTTGGAAGAGTGCAGGGTCAGCGAAAGAAAAGTCCCCAAATCAGATGAATTGACTACGTTCATAGGGTCGCTATGAATTGTCAATGAATCGACGGCACTTAACAAAAATAACAATGACCACATAGAGAGAGCTATGTTGGCCTAGTGGACAGAAAGTTATGCTACCAAGCCCAAGGTGGGTGATTTTAATCTGCGTCCGTCAAGCCTGTTTTAAATTGTTTTTTTGTCAAACATTCTTCTAGGTGGTATCGCACTGGTCTGTGCATTGCTGTACAGAGGTAAATCGTGGTTGCTGTGATGCTAAACACAGTGACACTCATGTGCGATAATGGTTACCCATGGTTGACAGTGTTTGGTGGCGCTTCCCGATTAAAACAAGCTTGGAAGCAGGAGTAGCATCCACTTCCGAAATGGCTTGTCTCCTGAAATTCTATGAACAGTGCTCAGGTCTTTCATTCACAGGGTCGCTATGAGTCGTCTACGACTTGACAGCACTTAGCAACAACAATCGTAGCAAGGAGCTTCAGTGTATCAGAGACGGAGAGGCTGGCACAGGATAGGACAAGATGCAGATGTGTTGTTCACAGGGTCTCTATTATGAGTCATGCTACACTCCACGGCACCTTACAACAACATATGACACTACTGCACCATACCTCTAGAAGCGCTGGTGCCACAGTGGCTAAAATGGTTGGCTGTTAATGAAAATGCCTGCAGTTTCAACTCACCAACTGCTCTGTGGGAGAAAGATGAGACAGTCTGCTTCCATAAAAATTAATGTCTTGGAAACGCTGTAGGCTAGTTCCACTTGTTGGCAATGGGTTTGATTGCCCACACCCTGCCCAGCTTTCAACATGTATCAGCATCTTCGGTCCAGAGGAAGTCAGCAATACAAGAGCCAGGAAAAAACAGCTCAGAGCAAGTAAGACTCGGTTCTTACTGTACAAATCAGCTGACCCCCCTTTTCCTCTCAAACTGACCTCTTCTCCTTAATTAGTCCTTTTAAAGGGCTTCTCATTTAAGTAAGGTAAAAAGTCTACAGGAAATCCTATTTTACACACTGCAATCAGGATGCACACTGAAGAGTGACACTAATTCACCAACTTGCCCTGATCATATGGTGCATGTGATGAGATGGTTATTTGGGGTGTTTTTAGACACAAGTTAAAGTTCTTTTCTATTTTGGGCTCCTGACTTTTAATTAGAAAGCTCTGTAGTTAAAAAAAAATTATCCTGGACATCAATGTATTTATTATGAAGAAAGACCTTGGCTCAGGAAAAACAGCAAAAAGAACAGATCAACTTATCCCTTAAGAGTTTTTGCAATGAACAACCTCGAGGAAAACAAACTATATAGTACTTGTAGCTCTAGATCTGAAAGTTCAACATCACCAAGTCACTTGGATTGACTGCCCTTAAAACTTGCCCTAATGCTAGAACTAAGTTAGCAAGAGATCCCTGAAATGTCTGTAATGCTCCTTCTTTCCTCTGTATTTGGGTGCATTGCCTGATATTTCTTTAGGAAACACCATGTAACACCACACTGTGTCCTTTTGAAGAACTAAAAGTTCACGGATATGTTTGTAGTGTCACAGGCTGAGTAACTTAGGACAATGGCTTTCCCTATCCCTGTCTCAAATTTTCACGTGGTAAAATAAGTAACTCCTGAAGCACTTGCTGCAGAAGGTCAAGGACTGCAGCCTTCAATATGGATTGAAGCTCAACATCAAGAAAACAAAGATTCTCACCACTGGCCCGATTGGCAGCATCATGAGAGATGGTGAAGAGATTGATATGGTTAACAGCTTCAGTTTGCTTGGCTCCACAATCAACACTCTTGGTACCAGCAGCCAGGAAAAGAAAATTTGGATTGCATTGGGAAAGTCTGCTGCCAGAGACCGCTCCAAAGTACTGAAGAGCAAAGATGTCAGTCTGGAGACTAAGGTGCACCTGATACAGGCCATGGGCTTTGCAATCACTTGTTATGCATCAGAGAACTGGACAATGACTAGGGAGGATAGAAGGAGAATTGATGCCTTTGAATTGTGATGCTAGAGAAGAGTGATGAATATACCATTGATTGCTAGGAGAACAATTGAATTTTGCACAATCAATGACTTATTCATAGCAAATACATTTTTTAAGAGACATCTGGATTTCACCTGATGGTGTGCATAGGAATCAGATCGATTACATCTGTGGAAAGAACCGCTGGAGAAGCTCAATATCAGCTGTGAAAACTAGGCCAGGAGCTGAT